TGTGTAAAAAGGCATTTAACAACTAAGAGTTTTCATTCATATCACCAGGTATGTGAGAACTTGACTCTGTAGCTGAGTTATGAATCCTGATAGGTGTGCTATTTTAACTTTACCATTGGTCATCTTGCTAAAACTTGAAATACACCCGGAGGACCTTAGTTCCAAAGTTCCTTTCATGTTAGTTCAAATAAGGGTTTGACTTCTGTGACCGGCCAGTTTGAACCAGAACTTCCAGCTGTTGTACTAGACTACGGTGCAAACTTCCAAGGTGCCCATAGACAATGACATTCTCTCATCCCAGAACCACTGGCTAAGTATTGACAGCCTTGTCCTTTTGCTCGGGTATGTTGTACAAATATTCCTGAGTTTGCCATCATATGAATAGTCTTGGGAAACAGGTTTAGCAAATTTGAAACGAAAGTCCTTTTAAGACAGTAACTCATTAACAGCCCCAGGATAGAGATTTTCAGTAAGATTTATTGGGAGTGCTTTCAGCATCAGTTCTGTGCTGTCAGTTTTATTAAGAGGATTGTGGTATCTTTTAACATTTGAAAACTCAATTCCTTGGCCTTGTAAGTGTGTCATATTTTCACCTCTTTAAACCACAGTAGAGAACTATTTGGAATTTTGTGTGTGTGTGTGTGTGTGCGCGCGCGCGCGCGCGCATGTGTGTGTGTGTGTGTTTGGAACATCCATCTTAGAAATGCTGGGTCAGTAAAATTCTGTGGGACTTTGTTGTATGTGGGGAAAATTACCAGATGAACATAGTTTCCATTATTTTCTTTTGCCTCTTCAGTATATAATAGACTTCAGGATTTTTAGAGATCGGAGGACTTTGCTATCCCTTCCCACTTGTCCTCTACTCGTCCTAAATTTCCAAAATGAACTTACAGCAGACCAAAATGTTTGAGGTTTTTTTTCAAATAAAATTTTAAGTCACAGAAAAATTCTCAGTTGATAGGCCAACATGACTAATAAAACTGTAGAGGTCATGCTTGGCAAATGGTAGAGTAAGGACCATGATGATTTACCTGTGTTGGATAGAGACAGGCTTGGATGGATTCATTTTCATTTATCTGTTATCTTACAAAACAGAGTTGCTGCAAAACCACCAGTTTCAGTCCATGTCATTTCTAATGAGATATGTGGGAAAAGTAAGAAATGTTAACCTATTCTGGAGTACAGCGATTAATATCTGTTCAGGATTAGAAATGGTTTTATTTAGAGTTTGATGGAAGAAGTATGTATGTGACTGAGTTAAGCTTGATATTTTAAGGTCATTTTATTATCCCACAGCTCATAGTGTCTTTAATTAAAGGTAAGGAAGTTGGGAAGGGCTGGCGACATAATTCAAGTGACAGAGTGCCTGCTTAGCAAGAATTTGACCCTGAACTCAACATCCCAGTAATTCCAATAAATAAATGAAAAGAAAAGGGGGAAATAGCTATAGTAGCTTCATTAAAATTTCAGTTAATAAAAGAAAAGAATGCAGATTCCAATAATTTTCAGTTTTAGAGGTTTGGGACTTTTTGTTCTCACTATGAAGTCTTGGCAGTGCATGTGACAGAGTGAATGCCACAACCTGAAGAGCCATGGGAGGACTTTGAGAGAGTAGCTTTTGTCTTTCCTGTGTTCCATGTAGCATTGAGTAGAGTTGTACTAATAAGCTGCTTGATAATTATTGAATGAATAATTACAACCAGATTGAAATTTGAAAGCTTAAGGGAGTTTTAAAAAAAATTAGTGATTGATTTAAATAAGTAAGTAAGTAAATAAAATAAACATATAGTAGTAGCACAATGTATGCATTTGGGCTTTTGGGGGAGCTCTTTTTTCTCTTATTTTATATTAATTGTACAAAGGGGTTTTGTTTTGATATTCCTACCCATGCATATCGTGTACTTTGATCAAATTCACACCCTGTATTACTCCAGTGTATACATTAGTTTGTTGGAAATGGGGGAGTATTTGGAAAAGGGGGAAACTGCGTTCAATTTTATAGGAAGTTAGTATGGCCCATAGTTTTAATATTGAAACTGAGACTTTGCATATTAGGCTCACACATTAAATACCTTGGATTAGAAATTTCATGTAAGTAGTTTCATGTAACTTGTTTGTTGGAGATTATGATTGTATACTTGCTTTTTTACCCAAGGCACTGACTATTGCTATATTTATATACTTTCTGCAAGACTTTTGTTAGCTGGGTCTATTGGAAATACAGTAAAATTTTAAGATATCAATACTTTTCATTTTCCCACAACCTTGCAAAGTTTTATTTGTGGTGCTACTGTGTACTTTGGGGTGCCATATAACAGCACCTCCCCCTCCAAAAAAAAAAAGGAAAAAGAGAAAAAATAAAACAGCAGTTAGGTCTAGATGAGGCATGATATTTGAATGCCTACCCTTGGGTCTATTAACCGCCCTGGGCCAAGGAACTTAGAACTGACCTCATCTCATTCCAGCCATATCATTACCTAAAGTTGGATTTGTTACTGAATATTGGAAAGGGATAGAAGGGACTGTGGGTTAGATTGGGCAAGGGTGGTGCCTGATGAAGAAGTGTGTTTAGAGAAGGTAAGTTTTCACTGTTGTTCTTTCGGTTTCTGTTTGTTTAACCAACAATGTGATAAGGAATCTTGTTGCTGCCATATTTGCTGTTCTGTTCACAGTTGAGAAAACTGTGTAAATAATTTTCTTGCACATATGGTCTATTTAATAGTTTTCAAAAATAAACTATTGAAAAGAATTTTACATGGTTCCTATGGATTTTACGTGCTTTTTGTTTCCTTGACTTGCTAAAACGTTATAGAACTAACTCTTTTTTTTTTCTTTTTCATTTCCATACAGGAACGAGAAAAATACGGTTCATGTTATCATTGTCACTATTTTTAAGTAGTGTTTTGAGTGAGGATTTACTGTTTGCCACATTCCTAATTAAAAATGACTAATCTTTTATAGGAATTTCAACTTTTGCAATTTGGTAATAACAGATACAGGTAAGTGAAAAATGGGAATTTCATACAGCTCTAAAGTTCTAAGTTTGGTTGAGAATTCAATATTTTATCACCAGTAAGACTTTAGATTTAGTTAAGGTTAAACATGTAATTGTCCACGTTTTGAGGACAGAGTTAATGTGTTTTTCTTTTGTTTTTGTGGTCCTGGGGATTGAACTAAATGCCTCATAGACACTAGTCAAGTGCTCTTACACTGAGCTACACCCCCAGTCCTAAGAACTGACTTAATCTCTATATTAACATTTTTGATGTTTCTTTGGTAGTTGCTGCTGGAATCAGAAATTATGAACACATCTAATGGTCTTTGTGAAGTCCTCTGTCATTTCTCAGAGGAATGGCCTAGAGGAGCAAGGCCTTCCCTGAAATTTCTCCCTTCAACAAGATGTTTAGTCACACAACATTATCTGTGAAACATTGGTATCGAGAAGGAAATTTACCTTTTTTATGTATTGTCATAATCTTGTTTGAGCTACTCTGAGCAACTCCCAGACTAAAAATCTTCTTTTTGGTAGAATTTTATTTATTTATTCATTTATTTATTTTTATGACAATTCTGGGATTTGAACTCAGGGAACTAAGTTCACACTTGCTAGGCAGGCACTCTTATCACTTGAGCCCTTTTTTGTTTATCTGTTTTTTAGATAGCATCTCCCACATTTTGCCCAGGCTGGCCTCAGGCTGTCATCCTCCTGATCTCCGCCTTTTGAGTATCTGGAATTACAGCCTGTGCCCCCACACCCAGCTAGAATTTAGTAAATTTATGATGCCTGGTCTTAGAATTAGTGGATACAAATATTTATCATGAACCTTCTTTTTATCCTTACGTATAAGTCTAGGTTTCTTACTGATTAACAGAAAGAAATATATTTTATATCTCATACTTTATATTACATAGGTGTGTCCATGAAATAAAAGTTTCACAATAAAGTGATATACTCTTTCCTGACCTGCTGTGTGTGGTTTATCCTTTTTCATTAAAAAAGTAAAAAAAAGATCATGACCTAACAAATTGATTTCAAGACTCAGATGCACACCTGTAGCTTTTTCTTTCCAGGTAGTGGTCCTCACAAAACTTTAATTGCCTCTCATATGTTGGACTCTTTTTTTCAACATTTTATCTTAAGTTGTATATAAAAACATGTAACATTAAACATACTGAAGTTTCCTTGTTTGCCTTTATTATTTGAATAACATTTCTGTGCCCATGATATTTGTTGAATCATTCTACTTTTGGCCTAATAGGTGTTAAAAGTTCCAGAACTCCATTGAGTCAGCCAGTGAAGAAAGATCAAAATTGAAAAAATATGAGCAGACTATATTTGAACTGTTTTCTGTATCTAAGGCTGCATATCAGCCTTAGAGTATCTCTTCTAGGTGACTCTGGTGTTCAAACTCCTTTTACAAATCCTAACTTAACAACTTGGGTTTGATTTAAAAAATCTTTAGCCTGTTTTACAGGTGTGAGGTGTAGACAGAAGTTAGATAACATGGGAAAAGGTGTATTCATAAATGCAAATAAGGCAGTTGGCTGCATATTTGTGTAAAATTTTCCTTTAGAATATGCTTAAGTTGAACCTCAGTGGTTTTTTTCTATTCCTCCTGGCAATACTTCTTGCTATCCTTAGTTTATATTCTTTTTTTAAACCTTTGCCTTTTCTAAGTTTTAAGACATGCAAATTTAATATCATTATAAAACTTAGTTTTAAAAAGTGATAGTAAAGCAAGATCAGATTCCTTCTCTTTCTTAATTCAGGTCTGAAAACAGTAAAAGTAAGTTTTAGACCAAGTTCCTTTTTGCAGATGATTGGAAATACAGTACTAATTTGTGCGTTTAAATATGTTGAGGCGCTAGGGTGTGTAAAAATAGTATTTAAGCATGTGCATTAGAAATTTAAGCCTGTGTTCAGGTTTTTATAGTCTTAGATTAAATGTTCAGCAAGCACAAAATATCCCATTAGGTAATATTCCCAATAAACTACACTTCATTCTTAAACTACATTTTAGTCTTAAAGTTAACTTAAAAAATCAGAATTCCTCAAATACCTACTGTGTGTACTTGTATATAATGTTTACCAGTGGCCCCATGCATCCCTTTCACAGAGATTTTTCCCTTTAGGCCAAGTGTCCTCCCACCCTTGATCTAGATAAGAGTGTGAATGAATAGAACAGATCCTGGAACAGCCCTCACAGCTCTGTGGTGCATCAGGCAACAAAGGTGTTAGGCTTGCTGCCTTTAGGGTCTGTAGAAATGACTACTGTTTGGATAAAAGATGCTAGCGGAAATGCTTCTCAGCCTTTTGGCTAAGATCAAGTGTAAAAGATGGTAAGATGCTGGTGGCTCTTTTTTCTTTTTCTAAATCATCTACAAACTCTTTCCTTTTTTTAAATCATCAGGGGTCTTAGAGACTGTATATGTTTCCTGTATAAGTAAACATATGGTCCACTCCCTGTTGTAAGATTCCCAAGAGAATATTAAGAATTTTAGTGTCCGTCTATTGAATTAACCCTCATATTTTCCTGTATTGGTGATGGAAGTGGAGCAAATATAGGAAAGCCAGAGATACCATTTCTTGAACTTGGCACTGCAGTTGCATGTTACCGTTAATCACGGGTCTGTGTTTCTTTAATTGGTATTGAATTGCTCAGAGTGTGGCTCAGTACCTGCTATAGGTGGTCCAGAAAGGACGGCCATCCCAGCAAAGAAACCAGCGAATCCCAAAAACCTGTGTACTCCAGAGTTCTTAGACAGATCAACCTGTGGGGATTAGAATTCAGTGTTAGCCATATTAAGTATGAAATTCTATGGAGACCTATGCCCACAAAGGGGCAAATCCTGTTTTTGTCATCTCAAACTGTAAATAGTTTCACTTTCTGACGTGATTTGGATGGCCTTTGGCCCACAGTATATGATAGACAGCGAGGTCTCTTTCCGAGAACAGTAACTTGGCTTGGCAGGCAGTGTTTGCAGTTTATTAGTGGGGGAACATTGGGGTTTGTATGGTTTTTAAATCTTTTATGTGGTTCAAGAATAAGTTTTACCCCCGAACCTCAGTGTCCTTTTTTTCTCCATTTATAAATGGTGTTAAAATCTGAGATGACAGTGATATTCTTGAGTTTACCTGTGGTTGAGTACCATCATAAGTTTGTAAGGAATTAGGTGTCACAGGAGTTGATTTCAGCTTAATGAAGCTGGAATTTTGCCCAAGCTTTACCACAGTGTCCTGTGGCACTTGTGCTAATACTGATGTCAGGCCAGAAATACTTTAGTACATTGAGGACCTGATTCTATGAAGGGGTTTCCAAGAACACATGAGTGTTTGGGTATTTCAGCTCCACTTGAGTCCAGGACTTTTTGTCAGTTTGTGGTAAGAATGAAGAGGGTTTTTTGTTTGTTTTGTCTTGTATTTTTACAACCAAAAAATAATGTCCCTAAAGTAAACAATAACCTCAATGAGATAGAAGTGACACTGGTTCCAGGATACCTTAAGATTGTGGCCATGAAGGAGCCAAAGACTCTGGAGTGGAAGGAAAGGAGTGAACACAATCTTAACCTTCTAGAAGATTAATAGCAAAATGGAATTCTACTTTCATTTCTTAACTGTCTTCTCACCTCCCTCCCCTCAAAGAAAGACGAATAGTGACAGGATATAGCTAGCTACGGGATTTCTGTGGCTTCTAGTATGGTTTCCTTAAATTATAAAAACTATAAAATAGCTATTCTCTTTGGGGGGAGATTATTATTGATACCTATACCAAATGGTATAACGTTAATGAATGTATACTTACCAGTACAGGAAGTATTAGTGCCAGGTAACTACCAGCAAAAATTGCAAAGAAGATGGTGTAGGTCATAAGTAGTGGGAATGTGGTGGCTAAAGGAGCAAGCAGGTTAGTGATTCCACACAGGATGAGATAAGACTTGTGGTATTGATACCTCTTCATCCAGTTTTGATCAGCAACCCATCCAGAAATGAGCTGACTGACTGTTTCAATGATACCTGAAACAATATAGAAAAACTGTTAGGAAATCCTAGTTGCATTTTCCGAGCCCTTTGCCTATGGTATCCTTAAGATGATACACATTGGGAGTGTATGTTAGGATTTTTGGATCCGTTGTATACCCTTAATCTGATCTAAATTTATTCTATCAAGCATTATAGTGAAAGAAAATGTATTTTTCCTCTTCTATACACATTATTTGAAGCAGAGTATCTGCATTTGGAATATTTGAAACCAAGTACATTCAGCTGGTTGTTTTTTTGGTGCTACTAGGGTTTAAACTCAGGGCTTTTCTTTTGTTAGGTAGGCGCTCTATTACTTGAGCCGCACCACCAGCACTACATTCTGCTTTTAAAGGCTTGGCACATTCACTTTCCTCAAGAAATTAGAAGTTGATGATGAACTATTGAGACTTTCCATAATTAGAGCACACCAGCTCTATCTTGTCCCTATTCATTATAGGCAATTTTGTCAGTTGAGAGAATCTGTAACTTGTTTGTTTTTATGGTGCTGGGGAATGAAACCCAGGGCCTCTCACTTTTAACAAGGCAAATGTTCTACCACTGAGTCATAATCCCAACCCTTGAGAATCTAACTTTTGGATCAAACATTTCCTGAAACTTATGAATACTCATTTACATTGATTTATTTGAAATGTCAGCTAGTCCACTGGTGATTACCTTCAAGGGTCATATTTATCTGTTAATTTCAAGGGGGGAATATACTTAACTAGAAATTAACTACCAGGTACTACTAAGCTCAATGTGCATCTTGACAACCTTATGGGGTTAGGTACTATTGTGTCTGTTCTACAGATTATGGAAGTCCAACACAGAGTCACTCAGGAAATAAGGAGCAAGAACCTGAATCTGGAGAGTCAAACTATAGAACCAATACTTTCAGTCACTACAGTTTACTTGGGATTTTCTGCTTCTTGGAGTAGCTGTTGCCACTGAGCCAGCTTTTTGAAATTCAGTATTTATCGAACAATAATTAATGTCTACTGTGTCAGACACATGAAAATGAGTCAGACTTGAGTTAGGGTCCGCTATTTATCATGGGAGATTCTGCAAGGTGTGGTGACAGGTCTGTGTAGGGAATAGGGAACCCTGGTGCTCTCCACTTGGCCTCAAAAAATTCCCTTCTGCCTTCTACAACTCCTTTCTTGTTATTTAATAGTTTAATAAACTTTTGTAAAACTGTTCATTTTTCCTTATAGGTAGAAGGTTGATAGTTTTTCTTACCAGCTACAGAAACGAGGTAGGAGGCATCCATAACATTAATCCCCAGTGTTTTGGCTCTGGCCACCAGGTGAAAGGTAGGGATGAAATATGCTAACTGACTGAGGAGAAAAGACCAGGTAAATATGTAAAAGAAAGGATTCTGAAAGAGAGAAACATCAAAGATCTTTTGTTTGCAGCTCTGTGAAATGGCCTTTTTCTTATAATATTCTTCATTACTCATTAACAGTCGGTTCCTGTTAGGCCTGTTGTTGAACTCTTCACTTTGATTTTGTGAGACAGTTAAGCTTTTATCAAGTTGTCCAGTGTTCTGCATTATGCTGTTGTTGATGGAAGACTCTTGTGTCTCATTGGAGTATGATGTTTCTGGTATCTCTGGATCACTTGTAGGCAAACCTTTAATATCAGAATTGTTCTCACTTTTGATGTGGACAGGCCTTAAGAGCATACTAGAAGGCACCAAATTCAATGCAATAGCTCCAAATAATATAAGGGCACCTAAATAAAAGAGATTAAGGAGTTAAAAATAATCTTTCACCTCACAGTACTTTGTTTATAGGCTCAGAAGAGGCCCTGTTACATAGTCCAGCAATTCTTGAAAATACTACTTTGCCTCCCAAATTTAACTGAAAGCACTTGTCTGTTGTCTTGTCAGCTATATACACTGTTATATCCCTGTAAAAATGAATCTCTTGGAAATGGAAAACCAGAAGACTGCATGAATAGATGGGATGGAGGGAGAGTTTATTTTTGCTAAAGAAAAAAAAATCAATTATTTTAATGGGAGTAGTATTTCAAATGTTAGCAAATTACATTGTGTTCTAAATAGGGACTTTTAAGTACCCTGAAGTGATGGCATAGATTTAGGCCTAAACAAAAGTACAGAATTAGATGACAATCACTTGGAAACAGCTTTAGAAAAGGAATTCTTTTATCTTATGGCATTTAAATTTTTCTTGAAAGAAGTCAGATGCTTGTCTTGCCTTTGAAGTTGAGTAGTTGGTTGATTTCAGCAGTTGATGTTTGTGACTTTTGTATAGTGCTTCTAGAGAGAGTATGGGCTGTGTAGGCTCTACCATCCCATCTTAGGGATTTGTCAGCTGTTCCCATTCACAGTGAGACTACTGAATGCTTTTCTACATAGGAAAAGGGTCAACAGAACTGCTACGAAGATAGAAATGGGCATATGAATACATGTACATATATCTTTTCCAGTAATTTACCATTATTTTAACTCAAATGTTACCTCAGATACAAAGAAAATTATGGGGTAAGTGGTTCATATTTGTGCAAATTTATGGTTTGACATAAAAATAAGTGAATGCCTTGTTGAGAGAAGGGAGGAGGAAGAGGGTGACTTATTTCTCCAGGGGTGTCATTGTCACTGCACAGAGTATCCTCATTGTCTCAGACATTAAACTCCACAGTGAAATCTGAGTTGCTTGTGTGAGCTGGCAAAGCCTGTTAAGTCATAGAAAATTGTCTGAGGAAGAGGAGCATGTTTCCTTTAGATATTATGCTTATTTCCTCTCTGGCAGTACTTTTAAGGGTTTTGGTTTGTTTTTCTTTCCCCGCCTCCCCATACTGGGGATTTAACTCAGAGCCCTGTGCATGCTATGGCAATGCCTTTTGAAACTGATCACTCGTAATGCTCCATTCCAGCCGGGCACCAGTAGCTCACACCTGTAGCCCTAGCTACTTGAGAGGCTGAGACCAGGAGGATTACAGTTTGAGGCCAGCCTAGATACATAGTTCACAGGACTCCATCCCCAAAATAACCAGAACAAAATGGACTGGAGGTATGGCTGGAGCAGTAGAGTACCTGCTTTGCAGTGCAAATCCCTAAGTTCAAAACTGCAGCCCCCCCCCCCCCCACCACACACAATTTCCAGGGATCACATAGAGAGAGCTGAACATTTAAATCTTGCAAAGTTGATAGTTTAAGGCAGACTGACTCACCTGTCCAGTCATAGAGCTCTATCAGGAATTGCGTAAAGGGTGCCAATAGAAATGTCAGTCCCATCCCAGAACGGGCAATAGCTGTAGCAAGAGCCAGTCGTTTTTTGAAGTATTTGGTAATTACTACAGCAGCTACTTGGTATAAGAAAGCAGACCCCAAACCTAAAAGAAAATTATAGTAGGTAATTTGGTACCAGATAAGATGTTCTGGATCTGATACAACTAGGCCTTCAGGACCCACGAATAGTAGAAGGTAAGCTGTTTACGGTGGACTCACCAGGTAAAAGTCCCATAGTCACACAAAGAAAGGGAATGCCTGTGGCCCAGCTGCTGATCAGATAGCCACCACTAATAAGGAAAGTCCCAAGAATGGAGGTAGTTTTCTCTCCAAGTATGTCACAAATAATAGCAGCCAGGGGACCTTAAAAGAAGAAAGAAAGGCAAATACTAGGTAAATATGTTTTGGTCTCCCTTACCCTCTGATGGGCATTTAAATGAACAGTTGAAGGAAAACAAGAGGAATCTATTTTGAAGTACTGTGTATCCTTCAAAAGAGATGTTTGTACTGAGTTTTTTTAATATTGCTAGTTATACTCTCCTTTTTGGAGAGTTACTGAAAAAGAATCATAAGATGGTTTGGAGGGTAATCTTGGTGAAAAGTGTGTGTTATAAAACTTAGATAAAATGTAATTGTACTTGTGGACTTCAACTAGAAAAAGGTTGAGTCACTAATCACCACATTGTAGTGCTGACTAAAACTAGAACAAAGAGAAATAGGTCCTGTGTTTTGTTCTGGATGTAATTACATGATTAGAACTTAATGGTCTGACTTCCAGGTTAAGGGCCTGACTCAGTGGACATATATTAAGGCATTGCCAGAATGGAAAGAAGACATGAAAAACTGAATCCTGGAATAGTAGGATTCTTCAGTTTGAATCCTAATTTTCGCAACTTAGTTACCAGGTCAAGTAGAAGCCAAACACTGCAATACCTACTTTCTCAGCATTACATATTAATACATATTAATAAATGAACCGGAACGTTAACAACGCTTTAGTCTTAACTGACAGAAAAGTCTTCTTAGAATTGCCTTTTGTGGGCCTTCTCCCTGGTCAGAGACCTTTTAACACTTTATACCTGCCGAAAAACGAAGTGATGACATGATGGATCCAATCCAACCAGTTTGCTCTGAGGTGGCTTCAAACTCTTCTTGAAAGACCACAAAGAAAATTGCAAATGTCTTGGTCATCCCCATCACAAACACATTTACCTAAACCAAAGCAGACCAAAGAGTCTGTGTAAGGTGGTGAGTGAGCTAGTGCAGGGGAGGTTGCAGCTGCTAGAGGTTCTGTTGTCTCAGCTCTAGTATTTACCAGTTTGCTTTACTTGTGATTCCTCATAATTTGCATTCTTTTGGAACTCATTTTATAGTGGTTACTCATGTTACATGAAAGCTCATTTAATCCTCATTTCAAGGCTACTCTATGTATGTATCAATATTGTATTAGGGAACAGAAAGGTGAAGTTTGGAAAGAAAAATGTTGACGAAAATGGGGTACTGGAGGTGAAATTTGTATTCAGATGGAATGACTGCCGACCACCACTGGTATCGTAGCCACCCTCTCCACCCCCTCGCAATACTGGGGCTTGAACTAACTCGGGGCCTCATACTTAACTTGGTGGGTGCTTTGCCACTTGGAGCCACTCCACCAGACCCCATAGCATCTCTTAAAGTCAGCTGTTTCAATTACCTTTGTGGGAGAAAAGCCTTTGTCCAAAAAAGAAGGAATTAGTCCTGTCAGTTCTTAGATTACCTTTGCTTTAACTCTGCTCCTGAGATGAGCACTTCTTTACCTAGTATATAAAGTGACCATATAATTTATCATCCAGATCGGAACACTTGAGAATGAGTGCTTAGTTATGCCAGGACATCCAGGGTTGACCAGAATGTATTGTCATTTTATGGCTGGGGCTTAAGCTCCATCTTTTTCTTAATTCTACCAACCTCTCTTTGCCTGCCCCTCCACATCTGTTCCATCAGAATTGCTCCTTTTGCGATCAGTTTTCTTTCTGTGGACTACTAATTCATATTGTTGGAATTCTGATTCGTCTGGAGGCAATTCCTCCTCCTCCTCTTTTGCTTACCAGGGAAACTATTCCCTGCTGGAGCCTAGAGTGGGAATTCAAAGGGAGATCTAGCCAGGGGTCCGCGTTCACTCTCAAAGCCCTCCTGCTACACTTTGTTCACTCTGTCTCCAGGGGTTTCCTAGGTTGTATCCGTGGTCTTGGCTTTTCCAGACCCACTTCTCTGCTTTCAATTTGGCCAGGCATTGCTTGAGAACCACAGGGTCTTGGGCAGCCTTTCATTGATTTCATTTGCTTTCTCTAACTTGGTTAAGTATTTTCCCGTGTCTCTGCACTCATCTCACTTAATATTTGTTACCTGGACAATCATTCACTCTTAATGTTTTAATTACCACCCGTACACTTGTGGTGTAGTGATGAGTATGGATCTACAGTCGGCCAGCCTTGGCTTGTTTGTATCCTGGCTCTGCTTTCCACTATGGGTGTGCTTTTGGACACTTTGAGCAAACTACTTCAAAGAGGTTAAGCTTCCTTTTTTTGTGAAGTGAGAATGAAAATATTAACTACACATAGGAATATGAAGATTAGGAATTTCTGGGAAAGTATTTAATTCTTGCCACTTATTATCTCATCTTTACCATTCTGCATTTCCAAGAGGTTCAAACTCATTACTGTCTACCATATCTATTTCATTTTCTGGCCAACTTGTCCAAACCTGAACTCATCTTTGCTTTATCTCATGTTTACTCTTTTTAGTTTTTTAAGTCCATATATGTACCCACTTAAGAGTCAGAGACCTCCTTCCTCTTGGACACCTCAATGCCTCACCCCCTAATTTCTAAATAGTCAAGTCCTTCCCCTCCTTTTTGTCACCACCATCAGACTAATAGTTCTTGGCTAGACTAACATCAGCCACAACACTTACAGGCTGCAAAAGTTGGGGTGGAGAGAAGAAAGTCTCTTAAATGTATTCTTCCCATTCTGATTTGATAGAAAGTATAAAACTCTCTTTATTTAGAAAGAATAATACTGTGGACACCAGTGCCATATATTCAGAAGTGGAAGACATTTTATTAGACCCCTCATTTAGCCATTTTATGACCAGAAGTTTCCTCCAAGACACTTGTCTCAAGAAATCAAGCTAGAAAATATACACAAATCTCAAATGAACTAGACTTGAGTTCAAAATAGAATAACGATTGTGTTCTCTCACGAACAAGAAACACTCTAATGAAGTGTCATTCTGTAAAGTAAGCATTTTTTTTTCTCCTGCGAGCATGAGTTCTATGCTGAAGTCCACAGGATGCTGGCCTCTTATTTTTTTAGCCACCTGAATTTGGCTACCTACTGGCCTCCAGTTTGGAACCCTTCTCTTTGGGCTATGGGTGAGGCAGCTCTGAGTGGGTACAACCTTGTTTTATAACTGAGTCTGTTTTTCACTTAGTTCAGGAAACCCAGGGGCAAAGCACTTGCATCTACCCTTCTCTCTTCCCATTTACTTAAAACCTTTCTACTTTCTGTTTTAACTCAGATACTAGAAACCTCTCCCAAGGTCTATGTTTTCCCTTAGTTAACTAAACGGACCATAGTCTGTATTAATCTGCTTAATCCCATGCCTTGGACCAAGCTTGGTGGGTTTCAGTCCTGTCACCAGAGTCCACATCAGATGTAAATATCTCATCCCCAAATAAAATAAGCCTAGAAACCCTTCATTCCCTCATTTCCTTTTTATCTTGAAGAACAGTTGAGTTGAATCTAGTAGGAACACCTTAAGCAGCCCTCCCAGTAAGAGCTAGCTCCCTTACCAGATCATCCTAATTGACTTGGGAGAAGGGGGCTGGATCAGTCTCAGTGGTCCATTTTGAAATCAGCACCAGGCTTTGTCAGTTACTTTTATTTAGTAACAGCTTCTTTCTACCCTACCCTAGTATCATCCCAGTTTATCCTGACCTTCATAGATAAGCTTCTTTAGAGAAAAGTCTGTTAGGTATTTATGTCCTCTTACTCTACTGCTCCATTGAAAAGTGACGTCCACTATCTTCAATCCCCACACAGTAATGGCTCTTACCAGGGTTATCAGAGACTTCTTATTACCAAACCTATAGACTTGTCATATTTATTTATTTCTGGCATTATGGGACTTGAACTCAGAGCCTACACCTTGAACCACTCCAGAAACCCTTTTTTATGAAGGGTGTTTTCAAGATAAGTTCTTGAGAACTATTTGCTTGGGCTGGCTTCAAACCGTGATCCTCCTGATCTCTGCCTCCTGAGTAGCTAGAATTACAGGCATGAGCCACCGGTGCCTGGCTTGTCATTTTTATTATATTTGACCTTAACAGCATCTACACATTTTTTCCTGATAACTTCTGGATTGCCACTGCTACTCACCTTCAGTTTCCTCTGTGGGCTTATCCCCTACATGTTTTCCCCAAGGTTTTGTCCTAGGCTCTTCACCCTTTCCTTGGTGATTTTACCCACCTTGACTTGAAGTTCAAACTACCATGTATCCTGGATACACACAAATTGTGGTATGTAGATTCTGTGCTACAGGTGCACGTAGACTGTATTTCTATAAGTATGGCTCTGAGTTCCTCAGACTCTGTTCAAGGTTAAGCCAGCCAAGCTGTCTTCAGATTTTGTCTCCTTCTTCCTGTGCCCTCTGACTTGTGAGTGGCATTCATCATCCACCAAGTTGCCTAAGCCAGCAATCCAGGACTCTCACTCTCTTTCCCTGACATCTAATTCCTCCCCAGATCTTATATATAGGTCTATCTCCTTGATGTCCTCAATCTGTATTTTCTTTTCACCCCTGTTGTTACTGCCTTAATTTAGGGCCTTACTGTTTTCTCACCTGGATTATGGCAGCATTCTTCCAATAGTTCCCCTGTGTCTGGGCATAATCCTCACTAACCCAATTTTCCACCCAGCAGTCAGAGCTACATTTCTGAAATGCAGATCTGATTCCATCATTCCCGTGCTTTAAAAAAGGGCCTCCCTTCTTACTGGAACTGGCCTGGACTGTGGTCTTCCTGTTTATACTTGCTGCATAGCTGGGATGACAGGTGCATGCTACAATACCCTGCTGTTGATTGAATTGAGAGGTCTCACAAAATTTTTTCCTTGGCTTACCTCAAACCATGATCCTCCTGATCCCAGTCTCCTGAGTAGCTGGGATTACAGGTGTGAGCTACTGTGCCCAGCTTCACTTACCTTTTCAAGAGCTCATCTTTTGTAGAAAAGTAAATCATAAAGACATAAAAGCATAGTCCTCTGAGGATCCACACTGCCATTGTGAGCAGTTAGCTCCTAAGTTCATTGTTTACATTTTGATGTATTTTTTGTGCTTTAACAAGGAGCATAACACTCCCAAAATGGGACATTGTTTATTAACCTGGTTATTAGGCTGTTTTTCTTACCAGCAACTAAATTAGTCAATTTCCTATCCACAGAGGATAGTGTAGGAGATGGTGGTTCCTGGGGAGAGAGGTGGGAGAAGTAGAGACCCTTGCCAACAATGCCAACTCTGCAAAGCATGATTTGGAAGGAGACCCAACCAGGAAGGGCTCTCAGACTTAGGGCAGCCTTAGTTTCTCTACTTTTAACATTTTGGGGAAGTTGGGGGGGTTGTGAAGAGATTCCACATTCTTTGGTAATGAAGCCAATGTTTAACAAATAGTGCTGTATTTGTTAGGAGTTTTGTAATACAAACTCCTAACTGGGGACCTCTGTTCTACTGTGTCAATAGGAAGTAGTGACAGAGTCCATTCAAATGCCAAGGATTTCCTAAGTGGTCTTGTTAGGTTGCTCCAAACCTTTAGATAGTCCAGACAGTTGGAAAATGGAAAGCAAATGCTTACCAGGAAGAAATGAAACACTGTCATCCATCCCCATCCGCCATCCAGGGTTCTAGTGTAAGGTCGGGCCTGCCCCTTCCTCTTCAGCATGATGTTTCCTTTGTGAAGTGCAGGAGTTCCTGTGATAGACCCAAGACATAATTGATCCAGCTGACAAGAAACTGATCTAAACTTTATTTCTGGTATAAACACACACACACACAAACCTGTATTTTTGTGTGAAGTTGGCCTGATTTAAGAGCTCCGTTAACTGCAAGTCCTGAACTCCTGACTGAGAAGTGGCCTCTCCTCCCCTTGTGGTCCAGTCTTCCCCGGGGCTGCCAGCCAGTTCTAGGGGAAGCTGTGGCACTCTCCTGGTCCTATGGGCCAGCCTTGATTGTAGAGGAATGAAAAAAAGGAGGGCACCTTACGTTTAGGAAGTCCCTTTATATAGCTCTTGCTACATTGTAGCTATTTTAAGAAACTTAGTGCGATACCTGTGGCTTGAATAAATCCTGTATCAGAAAAAAGTTGGAGAGGTCAGTTAGGGAAAGTTAAATATGGCATGTAGAATAGAGGGTACTGTTGAGGTTAAATCTTTTGGTTATGATGGAGGTCTCAGGGTTCTGCAAGAGATCGTCTTGTTCTTAGGAGGGACATGCTTAAGTGTTTAGGATGGAAGTGTCCCAGTGTCTGCTAACCTAGAGTTCAGTATATGAGGAGACAGTGAAAAGAAAATGCAAATGTTCTAAGGAAGGTGTGCAGCACTCAATTTCCACTGTAGCTGAAGGCAGGCTGTTTCATTCTGGAAAAGAATCAACCAGCAGAATGTGTGGAATGGCTGTCTGGTGAGCAGGCTGGATGGGGGAGATGTGTCAGTAATCTCAGACCCTGTAGAAAAGCAATGCAATGCACAATCCCATTTCCATCTTACCTCTGATGTCGGTTCAGCGAAGGAGTCCTCCACCAACAAAGCAACGTAGGAGGGAAAATAAATTATACTGTTTCCTAGAATGTTACTCTTTTTCTAAGACATTTCATTCCTCTGCACTGTGAAGACAAGTGAGCATTGTGGAGCCCAAGAGGGCCGGCCCAGTTTAGGCATTCCTGCCAGTGGACTTTACTTCCTGAGGGAGGAGGAAAGGCTGTAACTTGAGAGCATCTCAGGCCCGCCTTCTACCCACCCCTGCTCAGAAGGTAGACTTCAGTGTAGGGTCAAAAGCAAATGAGTAAACCGAGGGGAAATTCTTTGGTGACTGTGCTCAAGACTGGGGGATGGGGTTTAATCCCGTCCATACCTAATGTACCTGTCTGAAATTCCTCAGGGACAGATTTAAGACATGCTTACTTTATAAGAGAAATGCACGAAAATACATTTCCTGTACCACAAATGGCAATTTTGGAGCTGGTGGTGGGGATAGTCAATCTCCAGCAAAATACACACACATACACTTGTGCTTGTACACGTGTGTCTTGATGGGCATACACACACGAATATGAAGTGTTACGTTCCATTTTAATTGCTTTTTTGATAACCTGCTAAACTTCAGATACCTCCCATGAAAGGATGTATACTTATAGTAATTTTAATGAAACATTTCTGTCTTTTTACACTTTGGAAATGATTAAGACGTCCAGAAAAGTACCAGAATAATTTAACTTTCTACTCCCATTTCCTTCCTCTGCTCCACCCTCCATGTTTAAAAAAAAAAAAATCAACCAGAAATTGCCTTTCATCTTCCCACACAACATTCCAGATTTTAAATCATAGTGTATTTTAGGCCAAAGTGTATTTTTCTCTGCACATTTATGCATGTTCCCCTTTAAAAGGAATGGGCTTCTCAGCATCTTAAGAGCTAAACTGATACTTTTGATTAAAGTGCTTACAGAAGGACAGCTTAGTCTTTGGGAGGGTGCTCAGTAAGTATGACGATGGAAAGATTACGCAATTATGTGGTGCTGGTGGTAGAGATCAAATAAACACTCAGAAGGGAAAATCTAGTAGAAGGGGAATTGCTTTTCAGAGAGCTCTTTGTTAATTACACATTCCAGAAAACATTTTTAGTAAACATCTGTAGGACTGTTTTTAATTTCTTTGATGACACACTCGTTTTAAAACAAGGCTGTCTGTGATTCCAATCACAAGACAACATGAGCCTGAGCTTGATATTGGTAGAAAGTTCTGATCTCAAGACCTGAGGCCAGATTTGAAATGTGGCAGAGCAGGGAGTCATTCAGTGGCTAGGAGGGCTTCCAAATCCTCAGAAGTGAGCCCCTTTAAACATATCTTTCATATGAGTATATAATAGGAAGTTTTGAGGTGTAGTGGGAAATACAGACTTGATAGAATGTCAGTTTAGCCATTTTTAAGACTTGAGACTGAGCAAGTTACCCTTTGTGAATCTGTTTCCAAAACTCTAGACTGTTGAATGTGGTTAATACTAATTTGCAAGGTTGTTGTGAAGATTAATAATATATTTGTAAGGTGACTGGACATTTATAGAACTGCTATTGGTACTGGGTTCATTGAAAATGATTATATTAATCAGATAGTACCTAATATCAAGAGTAAAGAATTGTTAAGCCATCTTTAGGGTATTAGTTATCAGTTTGGCATCTGTACTCCATTGATTTAATAAGGCTTACAGGAGTTTTAACTAGACATAAATCCCTCAGCTTCTAACCTCTTTTGGCCCCAAAACTATTCAGCAAGAATGCACCATAATTTCCTGTTACCACTATTACCCTCATTCCATTGTCAAATACAGCCATGAATCATTTTTAATGTAATATAATACTACCAGGCACAGAATTAAGAGATTTAGTTTTCAGCTGAAACTGTCCCTGTGCAGAAAAGAGTTAACATAGCTAGCCTTTTAAAAGGTTGTTTTACAAGGTTGGCCTCTGGATGGCATCTGGGAATTTAGACTGCAGAACTTCCACCATTCCCTAAATGATGAGTGGATCACTGCTATAGCGTGCAAACAATATGGTTTATGGTGAGCACTTACTTTTCCTTCTGGGGTTCTGAAGTTTTACTATGTGCTAGTAGGAAGTGCTTATGTGACCAGCCTTCTGGGGCAGTCTTTAGGGAGCTTCCTTGGTTGGTGACTTTTCATATGCATTGTCACAACTCATTGCTGGGGAAACTAAGTATATTCTGTGTGACTCCACTGAAAGACAATTCTTAGAAGTTTGTGCCTCATTTCTTCTGGACTTTACCCATTCAACTTTTCCTTTTGTTGATTCTGCTTTTGTTTCCTTGCGATATAGTATAAACTCCATGATTATAAGAAATGCCAGTCCTTTAAGTCCTACTGAGTCATCAAACCTGAGGGATTGTATTTGTCTGGGTTCTCCAAAGAAACAATATTCTTCAGAAGTAGAACCAACTGGTGGTGGGGTGAGTGTATTAAAGATTGATTTATTATAAGGAATTGGTTCATATGGTTAGAGAGAAGCCCAAGATCTGTAGTCAGCAAGCTGCAGACCCACGAGAGTTGGTTTAGTTCTAGTCCAAATCGGAGGGTCTAAGAATAAGGACAGCCAATGGTGTATGCTCTGGTTATAGTCTTGAGTCTGAGGGCAGAAGACCCAATGACCCAGTTCAAAACTTTTTATTCAGGTCTTCAGTGGATTACAGAAGGCTCAGCCACATGGGGAAGGCAATCTTTACTCAGTCTACTGAAATGTTAATCTCACTCAATAACATCCTCACAGACATACCTAGAAATAATTTCTAAATAAGTATCTTAGCATCTTATAGCCCAGTCATAACCATACCTCAACTTTAGTCTGGTACAGGCTAGAAAATCAGCCATCTCCAGTCCTGAGCTCTTTCTAGCACAAGTCTTAAGATCAGTAAATTGAATAGTTTTTTTCTACAATAACCCTCAAAGGGTTGTTGTAAATAAATGAGAAAGTCTGTTAACTCCTTTGTTTAACTAAATAAACAGGTGTTTCCTCTGTGCCAAACACTGCGCTAGACAGAGGCAATGTGTGGTAGACAAGAGTGTATGATGTGGCACGAGAGCCGACCGGGGCTATCCTACAGGACCTGGGAGGCCTTGCAAGAACTGTGAATTCTGCTCTATAAATTGTAAGAGAAGGCCCCTGAAGGAAGGTTTAAAACTGCCTGGTACATAGTAAGCACTCAGTGTATGTTTGTTCCTGAGTATTACCACCAGGATGCCCTATTAGAAACTCAACACACCGAAATCCCAGTCACTTTTTCCTGTCAATGCCACCCTTCTGGCTGCTTCCATCATCTAAAGTAGAAAATTCAATCACCTGTAATTCTTCATTCTCTTTTGTTTCTTGCATTTGGGGAGGGTGTGTCTCATATTTGGTATTCTCTACATGGGGAAAATACCTTTTAAGTTTGAGGACTAAATGAGCTAAATCGTGTAAATTGCGTACCATGTCAGCAAAACCCTTAATAAAGATTGGCTCTTACTATACTGGGCTAAGAGTTGGATACCTGAATGAGCAAGAGGAAGTTTTCTTCTTGGAAAAAAAAGATGGATCTTACATCTTAAAACCCACTCTTTACTCTTATCTGTCTGCTTGCCCACAGGAAAAGACCCAGGATTCTTAAATAGACAATTTCCTTGTTAGTCACCTTGTCTTCCAGCTTTCTCACCTCCTGCCTAGCAGACCAAACTAAAGCATTTGCTGTTACACAAATACTCCTTTTGATTTGTCCTGTCATTGCCATTTCCTATTGCTAGAAGCCCCTTCATCACATCTGTTCTCTCTTTGGAGGCCCAGTTCATGCCACAAAACCCTCTTGTACTGTACTATTTATATATATTCATCTATTCAGCAAGTATTTATTCAGTACCTACTATGTACTAGAACTGTTCTGGTGCTTGGGATATATCTGTAAATAGGACAAAGCTCATACTCTCAAAACGCATGTGCTAGTGAGGAAAACCAATAATAAACATGTATCTGGAATATGACATATATATCCCTTCTATTACAGTGCAAGCAGAAGCTGGAACCATGTCTATCTGTTTTCAGATAGCACCTTATACTAATATCCTGGACACTTTTAATATTGTGAAATGTCAAATTGCAAAAGATCAACAGGAACTGTATTCAAATGCAACAAACTGAGGTCCTTTGTGCCTGCCTGTGCACCACTCTGTTGTTGAGACTTGGAAAGGGTGAAGAGAAGACACATAGCACTATACTTTCAAATGTGAAAACATTTTCTTTTCTGGCCAAATGTGGCTATTTCTTTGGTCTGGGTGTTGAGTGCATGCACTGAGTTGGAGTCCAGAGTCCAAATGGTGCCTCTGCTAATCCCCTAGCAAACATAAAAAAAGGGCAAACAAGAGTACCTACTGTACTGAATAATGAGAAATAAGCTTCTGGCATGTAGTAAGGACTTTATTGGCTATCTGACGTTAGCTATTACCTTACTGAGGTAGAGGGATATGCTTGATCTGTAGACAGTTCTGTGAGAACACAGGCATTCAAAAAGCTTTTGAAAGAGAAGCAAGTCATTTGGAACAGATATTTTTTTGGGAAAAAAAAAATTACCATTTGATAACTGGAAAAAAAAAAGATTTGATAAATGTTTAAAGAATACAGAAAGGATCCAAGCTTTCCTCCAAATACATTTATTGAACACAACAAAATTGTATATACAAAGTGAAATGGACTTGCTGCTTCAAACCATTGGGGTTCTTTTGTTTGTTTTTCTATTTTGGCGGTTTGGGGATCTGAACTCAGGGCCTCACACTTGCTAAGGAAAGCTCTCTACTACTAAGCCAAACCCTCTAGCCCCTCTTACTAGTATCTTGAAAGGCTGGTTAATAAGCAACTTACGCATTATAAATAGAAAAGTGCCTAATGCGCATTAAATGGCCTAACCGCTGAACTTCAGTAATTGTATAAGATCATTAGCACAGGTAGATGGGTCCAAATGACACACTACTAGAAAACTGGCATGAAATGTCAAGAGGCCATTTTGTGCACTGCCACCGTGATGCCATCATGTTTCTGGATCATAATGTTCCTGAAAAGCAAAGAGGAAAATATTCAGTAAAATCTCAACAAGTGGGACTTCAGTGCAAGATTAAAGATGTTGTTTGGTTTAAGATTCAAAATACTAATATCACTTTTCTACATTAAAGTCATGAGGCAAGAAATATTTTCCTTTTTTTTGTGTGTGTGCGTGTGTATGTCCATTTCATCCCCGAGGATGGAGCCCAAGGCCCTGTGCATGCTAGGCAAGAACTTTTACCACTGAGTTACATCCCCAACCTCCTGGTTCTTTTTTTATCTGCACATACACATTTTTCCCTTTTTCTTCTTTTTTTTTTAAATACAAAACTGATTATATTGTGCAGTTTTGTGTTCTGATCTTTTTTTACTTAGTATTATGACGACCCTTCCTTGGAATCTCTTTAGTACTTTTATTAAGTTTCTATTCATTGATCAGTCTTCTTCTGTGCCATTTATTACTTTCTTTTTCTTGACAGACTGATAGTTGATGACAATTCTTACTGTCCATTTAAATGTCATGTGGCCTGAAAGCACATTAACTTTAGAGATAATCTGTCTGCTCCTGAGGTAAAATGACTAAGGAATCACTGATGAACACAGGGCAGACCCCAATTAAGTTTCCCAGTGATTTTTCTAAACAAAAAAAGAAAGGATCTGTCAACATCTACTCACCCATTATCTGATTCTAGACATACCACAGGAATATCAGTGGGGTCAGAGGTTAGCTTAGCTGCTTGCTGGGCTAGAACTGATATCACACCAGCATGTTCATCTGATAGGGTCCCCCGGCCTGGAAAGCAGAGATGATAATCATGTTACCTGACTGTCCAAAAATGAACAAAGAGCTATAGTAGTATTGCCCATTAAATTATTCACAAAAGTAGCTTCAGTTCCTGGTCTCTTAAGGCAGGTACTAACATGAAATAATTTTCCCTGATACTCAGCTGGTTATATTCATGAGAAAGCCAGGCAACAGTTCTTAAATCAATAAAGCCATAAATGACATTCAGTTCTCAAAGTCATTCCCCTCAAATCTCTAAACACCCTCTCAGGCATATAAGGAAGTTGTAATTCAAGTCAATCTGAAAGTCATAAATTCATTTTATAGGAGCCTTACTGAAAGCAAGAAGAAATTCAGAGGTGAGATTGACAAAAAGCAGTCAATAAGAGCAAGAGACTTGTTGAAACTAACTAATTCCTTATGGGAAATCTGATTTCCTTTTATTGACCTCAATCTCAAAGGACATAAAGTATTTACTTGGGAGTTCAGCTGTAAGATCACCTTGACAGTACATGTGAATATTCTGTAACTGTGTGAATTATTTCTGGTAGAATAAGCTAGCTAGCTGTTTCCAAATGTCAACAGAATTGTCTTTTATTAATGTTTGTTTTAATCTGTATGTAGTAACTAAATTGTGGGTCCCAGGTATAAAAAATAATTACTAAGCACTGTAGGTGTGGCTAGAGCTGTAGAGTACCTGCTTTACAAGTAGAAACTTTGAGTTCAAATCGTAGTTCCACACCCCCCCCAAAAAAAAACTACTAAGTTTACAATAGATTTCTGTAAGTAAAGGCAACCCAAGCTTACCTGTGCCTGAGACTAAGTCATATAACAGACACTTCACTATCACAGAATGCACAGATTCACTATTGATATATAAGACATTCACTGCTCAGATGCGGTGCAGTCTTTTAGACTTTGAAGAATTCTTAAGAAATTGTTTTAGATTCCCACACTTGAATTTCAGTCTTTCCATCAGTGAGCCTGGCAAACACTTCAAAAAATTTTGTCATTTTATTCCAAATGACTAATTTGTGTGTAAAGCGTAACTAAGTTATAGATTATCTCTTTCAGTTACCTTCCAGAAAAAAATTTAGTTTTAAAAATTCCTACCTAATGCAGTAAGTAAGAAGTCCTAAGCTTACTATTTCAGACATTAATTAACTGAATGCTTTATTCATTTATCCTTTTGGTCTTATTTCCTAATTGGTAACTGCTACAGTCGGTAACTGTGTGTGAGTTCGATGGTAAGTTTTTGTAGTATTGTGATTAAGAGGCTTTGAAGCCAACACAAATGCTGCCTCAACCATTTATTACCTGTACTTTAGCTCTGGCATCTCAATCCCACCCCCAACCCTGGACCTATGCTAGGCAAGTCACTACCATCTAAGCCATGGAGATAGCCTTCTGTTTTGTATTTTGTTTTTGAATAGGGTCTGGCTAACTTTGCTGGGGCTGAACTCAAGATCCTCCTGCCTCTATCTCCAGAGTCCTTGGTATTACAGGCCTGCACACCACAAGATGCTTTGGGTCTTGATTTCTTTACCACACAGGGTTGTTTTGAGGAATATGAGTTAGTATAATCCAAAGCACTTAGGATGGTGCCTTTTTATTGAGTAAGAACTCCACAAATGTAATTCTGTAATTATTACCATTATTAAACAACTACCCAGTAAAGAAACTGAGGCTCTGAAAGGTTCTTTTTGGTCCAAGCTCACATTGTAAGTAAATGGGACAATAGGGGGTAGAATTCAGATGTGCCAAACTTATTGTGAGGAGTAGTTAGACTAACAAATAGCACCACCCACCTTGCAAGGTTATTGTGAAAATCAGAGATGATGTTTATAACGCCTAACAGTTCCTGCACACAGAATGCATTCAATAAATGGTATCAGTTGTCATTTGAAGTCTTTTCTAGACCCAATTTAAAATGATTCAAATACCATTTTAATAGAGACAACTATTTAATACTAGGAGTGTGAGGGACTTTGTGCCTTTTAAATACCAATGACAAAGTGCCAGATGTCTAATCTATTTGCAGATAATTTCAACTCTCACAAAAGTACCTAGAAAGTGGCAAGGTAACTGGAAACAAAAGCTAGTGAACAGCAGCACAACTCAGCCTCAGTAGGAGGCTGGTATGAGACACTTACAGCCCAGATTAAGTCCCTGTGAATCTGTGCATAAGACTCCAACGATGGACGGATTCTTCATTCTGACTCCAGGAACATGGGAGAGAGAAATGATAGAAGAAATATTTAATCAGAGCACATACAGGCTTTCTAGGCACCAAGCATTGTTTTAGGGCTCTAAATCAGTGTTTCCCACTCTTTTATCAAGATCACTCCCCGAGAAAAAAAATTACAGTTTAAATAATAAAAACATTTCTCTAAAGAGGTAAGACTGTCCAGTGGCACTGACTGGGCTTCAGAGGGCCACAAACATTGCCGAATCTAGCACTGTTGACCTGGTCAGAGATGCAGGCTTTTGGTATACTTTGTCACTTAAAACAAGGAGTTCTCTCTCAGAGGGAAGGGGACAAGCCGGGGAGGTAGGTGTCACAGATCTTCGAAATCGTTACAGGCTGTTTCACTTCCTTTAAGCACCAGGTAACTGACTGGTCCCCCGACGGGAGGAGGCAGGTGTGTGTGCACGCGGGGCTCACCTTTGCACACATTCTTCCCAAAGTTAACGTTTCCCACACATGTAAATAGCTATCCCGCGGGTCCAGACGACTTAAAACACGACAGGTGGCCGTGACCTCGAGCTGGAGGAAACTCGCGGGATTTTACTTCCGGATCACCCGCCCCGCCCCCACCCCACGTCCCGGGGTTCGAGCGGCGTCCCCGAGACACTCGCGGGTCACGTCATTTGTCTCGCTCAAATTCTTAGGACAGGCCGAAGAGGCCGGCACTACTCACGTGTCCTCCAAGTGCTGCTCCAAGGTCGCTTCCATCCCGCCCGTCGTCCGCCTCGGCCCAGTTCTGCGCTGTACTACGCGTCCGGCTCCCCCACAGCCCGCGGTCACGTGACGCGAGCGAGGCGCGCTCCCGGACGGCGTCTCCAGAGGGACCAAATTCATCGCGGCGCCGCGCCCGCGTGGCTTACCGGAAGGCATGCCCGCGCTTTTAGTTTTCTGCGGAGAGCCGGCGGGTTGCGCGTCGCTCCCCGCCGCCAGACGCGCGGATGAGTCCCCCGGCAGAGAGGGCTAGTCCCCGAGGTTCCTGGCCGGGCTCTTGGTTTAGCGATTTTTAACCTTTGGATTCCGGCTCAGTTAGAACCTGTGCTGGTAAAAATTGTAAACGTTAAACAAGGTTTTACAGTAACCTGGCGGGTCAGGCAGGGACGAAGACACAAGGGACCAAAGGACGAGAGAGCCCAAGGTTGAAACCGCAAGCTAGGTGCTGAGAAAGTCAGAATTTTAACAAAGACATCGGTACATTTTATTATTACTAATTTTACAGAATAGTGGGATTCATATTCACCCTACCATCACCACTCTTTGTCACCCGCCCGCCTCCTATTGATCCCTTCCCAATTGACTATCTTCTGCTGTCATGCCTGTTTTGGTGTTCTGGTTTTTTTTTTTTTAATCTAGATTCTGCATACAAGAGAAGATAGGGTCTTTCTGATTCAGGTGTATTTCACTTAACATGATGATCTCAGTTCCAATCATTTTCCTGTATAATTCCATTCTTTATGGCTGGACAATACTCCATTATGTAGGTATACCACATTTTCTTTTCTGGTCATATGTTGTTGGACATTTAGGGGCATTCTGTGACCTGCCTGCTGTGAATTGTGCGGCAAGAACATGGGTGTTCAGGTATCGCTGTTTATGCGGACTTGATTCCTTTGGACATATACTCAAAGAGTGATACTGCACAGCAGAACCATATGGCAGTTCCACTTAAATTTTTTTTTTTTGTATTACTGGGGTTTGAACACAAAGCCTTACCCTTGCTAGGCAGACACTCTCCTACCTGGGCCACTCCTCCAGCCCTTTTTTGTGATGGGTTTTTTTGAGATAGGGTCTCGGGAACTATTTGCCAAGTTGGCTTGGAACCCTGATCTTCCTGATTTCTTCCTCCTGAGTAACTAGGCCTAAGGACATGAGCCACAAGTGCCTGGCTATTTTTAGTTTTTTGAGGAATTCCCTATACTGCTTTCCACAGTGGCATTAGGCGGGTCCTGCGTTGCTCCCCAGGCAGGGGAGGTCTAGGCCCAGAGGTTCCTGGCCAGGCACTTGGTTTAGCGATTTTTAACTAGTTTTTTTGTTTGTTTTAAAGAATAGTTGACATTCATACCGGATATGCAATTCTGTAGCTGGGCTTTTCATAGAATTCAGCATTTGTGGAAACTTACATTTCCACCAAGGGTGTAGAGGATCCCCTTTTCCCCCACATCCTTACAGCACTTGTTTGTTTTCTTGATGAGTGCTATTCTGACTGGGGTCAGAATGGAATTTCCCTGTCATTTTGATACGCATTTCCTTTATGGCTAAGATGTTGAACATTTTTCCATGTATTTATTGGCCGTTTGTATTTCTTTTGAGACCTGTCTGTTCATTTGCCTGTTTATCGATTGGGTTATTTGTTCTTTTGGTGTTTACTTTCCTGAGTTCTTTATATATTCTGAATATCTGTCCCTGAATAGCTGGTAAACCAGAACTGATGAGCCCCAAACCCAGCAAAGCTTTACTGCACGAGATGGCACTAAGGGGGCGTTGCTGAGATGCTGACTTTCCTTCCATGGGAAACCAGCTGACTTGTAGATCATTGGCACGAACTTTGTCTCAAATAGTCAGTACTTGTATTTGCCAATGAATTTTTTTTTTTTTGAGACAGGGTATTTATGTAGCCCAGGCTGGTCTGGACCTTACCATCCCCCTGCCTCAGCTCTCAGTGATGGAATTACAGGCATAGGCCACCATTGCTTGACCTGTGTTGGTATTTCTTATGGTGAGGACTCAGAAATTTTTGAGGAAGAAAATTAGGCATTTCAGTCCTAAGTGGGGTGAACTACTTAAAAAAATTAAAATAAGGAAAGGAAACCACCTACAGTTTCACTGAGCAGAGATGACTGTTAATCACTTGGAGAATATCCTTTTCAGATGACTGTGTCTGCAAATGTGTATTTGTACTGGATATGCAATTCTGTAGTTGGGCTTTTCACAGAATTTGGCATAAATGTCATTCCATCACAATAAGTATTCACTTACATGCTTTGTAATAGTTGCTTGCAAAATAGTCCATGTTACAGCTATCTCTGAATTGATTTAAGCCCGTATTAGTGTCCAGTTAGGTTGCTTATAGTGGTGTGTATTGTCTATTGCAGTGCCTGGTGCAGGTTAAAATTTTCTTTATGATATAATAGACATGGAATACTGAGTCAAAGGATATGGTCATTTTCTTGTTCCTTTTTTTTTTTTGGCAATGCTGGAGTTAGAACTCAGAACCTAGCATTTGCTAGGCAAGCACTCTATCACTTGAGTCCCAAGGATATAGTCATTTTTAAGACTCAAAAATTGTCTCCCAGAAAGGTGATGTATTCGTAGGCTCTCCCATCCCCTATAAATCTCTACCCACAGCTGTGCATCACATCTTGCTGAGTTTCCTCCAGCGCTCTGACCTCCAGTGTTTGCTCAGTCCATCTTCTGACCTAGGACCCAGCTCCAAGACTCTTCCGGGCTTCCATTCAGAGTTCCTTTCATAACCAAACTGTTCTGATGAAGCTTGCAGAATTTTAACTTCCTCAAAATTCCATTTTGAGCTGAGCACCAGTGGCTCATGCCTGTAATCCTAGCTACTTGGGAGGCAGAAATCAGGAGGATTGAAGTTTGAAGCCAGCCTGGGCAAATAGTTTGAGAGAACCTGTCTTAAAAACACCCAAAACAAAACATGGCTGGTGGTGTGGCTCAGTTGGAAGAGTGCCTGCCTAGCAAGCAGTTCAAACCCCAGTATTTCAGAAAAAAAAATCCATTTTGACTTGTAATTCAGGGATCTTGAATTCCATTTTTTTTTTTGCAGCACTGGGATTTGAACTCAGGGCCCCATGACTGCTATGCAGGCGCTCTACCACTTGAGCCACTCCACCAGCCTTAGGGGCTTTGAATTCCTGCTCTAAATAAATTAGTTAAGTTAGGAGATAATACCATATGAGCCATACTAATTTTTTAAAAAGCAGTTTAAACTACCCTTAAAAGACAGACAAAGACCCCTCCAAAAAGGAGAACTGTAGGCCAATCTCCTTAATGAACATCGATGCAAAAATCCTCAATAAAATAATGGCAAACTGAATCCAACAACACATCAGAAAGATCATCCACCATGACAAAGTTGGCTTCATCCTAGGGATGCAGGGGTGATTCAACATACACAAATCTATAAATGTAATCCAGCACATCAATAGAAGCAAAGACAAAAACCACTTGATCATCTCAATAGATGCAGAAAAAGCCTTTGATAAGATCTAACACCACTTCATGATAAAAGCTCTAAGAAAACTAGGAATGGAAGGAATGTACCTCAACACTGTAAAGGCTATATATGACAAACCTACAGCCAACATCATACTTAATGGAGAAAAACTGAAACCATTTCCCCTAAAATCAGGCATGAGACAAGGGTGCCCACTATCCCCACTCTTATTCAACATAGTCCTGGAATTCCTAGCCAGAGCAATTAGGCAAGAAGAAGAAATAAAAGGAATACAAATAGATAAAGAAACTGTCAAAATATCCCTATTTGCAGATGACATGATCCTATATCTCAAAGACCCCCCCAAAAAAAAACTACCCCAAAACTCCTAGACATCATAAACAGCTTCAGCAAGGTGGCAGGATACAAAATCAACTTACAAAAATCACTAGCTTTTCTATACACCAACAATGAACAAATTGAGAAAAAACATATGGAAACAATTTCATTTATAATAGCCTTTAAAACAATCAAATACCTAGGAGTAAACTTAACAAAGGATGTGAATAACCTCTACAAGGAGAACTTCAAACCCCTGAAGAAAGAGATTGAGGAAGACTGCAGAAAGTGGAACTATCTCCCGTGCTCATGGATTGGTAGACTCAACATAGTAAACATGGCTATACTACCAAAAGTAAGATACATGTTCAGTGCAATTCCCATCAAAATCCCAATGACACTCATCACAGAGATTGAAAAATCTACCCTAAAGTTCATTTGGAAACACAAGAGACCACGAAGAGCCAAGGCAATACTCAGCAAAAAGAGCAATGCTGGAGGTATCACAATACCTGACTTCAAACTATATTACAAAGCAATAGCAATAAAAACAGCATGGTACTGGCAAAAAAACAGATATGAAGACCAGTGGAACAGAATAGAGGACCCAGATATGAATCCACACAGCTATGCCTACCTTATTTTTGACAAAGGCACCAAAAACATGATGGAGAAAAGACAGCCTCTTCAACAAATGTTGCTGGTAAAAGTGGTTATCTGCCTGCAGAAAATTGAAGCTAGATCCATGTTTATCACCCTGTATGAGTATCAACTCAAAATGGATCAAGGATCTTAATATCAGACCCGAAACTCTGAAGCTAGTACAGAAAAGAGCAGGGAATACTCTGGAAGCAATAGGTATAGACAAAGACTTCCTCAATAGAACCCCAGCAGCCCAGCAACTAAGAGAAAGAATGGACAAATGGTACTTCATAAAATTAAAAAGCTTCTGCACAGCAAAAGAAATGGTCTCTAAACTGAAGAGAACACCCACAGAGTGGGAGAAAATATTTGCCAGCTACACATCAGACAAAGGACTGATAACCAGAATATACAGGGAACTCAAAAAACTGAACTCCCCCTAAATCAATGAACCAATAAAGAAATGGGCAACTGAACTAAACAGAACTTTTTCAAAAGAAGAAATTCAAATGGCCAAAAAACACATGAAAAAATGCTCACCATCCCAGGAAAGGAAATGCAAATGAAAACCACACTAAGATTCTACCTCACCCCTGTTAGAATAGCCATCATCAAAAACACCACCACCAACAGGTGCTGGCGAGGATGTGGGGAAAAAGGAACCCTTGTACACTGCTGGTGGGAATGTAAGCTGGTGCAGCCACTCTGGAAAACAATA